GATTGATATTCGATTACCAATTACGAATTGTAATTTCACTTTCTCCGTTTATCTATACAGATATTCGATTGTACTCCCACTCGCAGTTGTTTCATGATGTGGTAACCGCATGCGCGCTGTAAAAAAGAGAGCTTCGCAACGCTTGCTTCGTCATCCAAGCCACGAAACTTGCTTGTTTCACGTTGTCGATAAAAAAGCTTCGTTCTTTCCTGAACGTTAGAGAGAAAAAGTTTCAAATCTCTTTTCTCATAAGTTTCGCCTTTTTGATGGCTAGAGAGGTCAGGTTGTTAAGTGTAGACAAAGGTCCAACGGAAGTTAGCGTCTCTTGTTCTGAGCTAGACGGAAGTGGCTAGGGTTAAAAAAAAAAAAAAAAAGATAGAGAGAGGGAAGAATGAAAAGTTCGCGAGTGCATCCCAGTGTTCAGTAAAGTTTGCTAGTTATAATTCTCGTGGACGGAGATCTTCTCAAAGGGTTTATTCTCGTGGTAAAAGGCTTGGGAGGAATGAAGGGGTAGGAAAGGGGGTGAGATGTACTAAGAGAGGAAGGAGAAGGAAGAAAGAGAGTGTGTGTGAGAGTGAGGTGTAAGGGGATGAAAATACGGAACTGAAACCACGCCTCTTGTCTAAGGTTTCCCCTACCTTTTTGGGGTGGCAAAACTGGGCTTTGAGCCCTCTCCTATATACGGGGAATCCTAAGATTTTTCAAACCCCCCTTCCGTATCTCTTACCCCCACTATGAGATCCCCTTCTTCTATTGATCCGGGACTAAGGGGTTGTTTCTTGTCGTGCCAAGTGTTTCTCTTTTCAAACCTTCTCACTTACACTCGAGTAAACTTCTTTTTCTTCGTTTTTTTTTTTCTTATTTTCTTTTCGGCAAATGTTTTCCTCACCAACTGCGAGTAGGAATAGTCGAGTTTTTTTTCTGAATTATTTGCCTTAGGTAAAAGCTTTTTAATATTTTTATATATTTTCTTAATTCGAATTAGCAAAATTTCATTGATTCACTGCAAAAAGTAGTTATTTCTAATATCAATTAATTTTGAAGATGTAAGATGGTTACAGATGATGTTTTAAACGTTTTAAAATCTACAAATTTTTAAGATACTTCTTTTTTAAGTTTAAAAGTCTGTATTGTAAACATTTTTCTACATTTTTCGAATGTTACAGATGCTTTCAAATCTGATAATATTATAGAAATGGAGATATTTTGATAGGGTTGACAATTCCTTATCCTGTTTGTTATCATTCATAATACTGTTGAAATATTTTGTCTTTCATCAAAGTAGTAAGATTATTTGAGTGGAAAATTTAACATGTTCCAAAATCAAGATACAGAAGCATTAGGTTTTTTTTTAGAAAAGAAAAAGATTGTATTATATTTACAGTTAATTTAATAAAATATTTTATTTATTTATTTATTTATTTATCTTTCATCCAATCAGTTTAATCGAAGTAGTACTCTCGTGTCTCAACCACCAAATCCACTTCCCTTTTCTCTTTGTCGGAGACTACGAATCTCGTCTAGGAGTAGTTGAGTTTCAGGATTCATACCGGATAACATATACACACAGACTAGCTGGGGGCTGTTAAACACGACGTCTCTTATCGGTAAAACTGTTCTATACAGGATACCCGGCCAGCCATTCGTGGTGCAAGTATCTCTCTGCCTTTGGTATCCTATTCCTAACATCATGTTCTAAGTATTTGCTTATCTCTCGATATTAAACTCTTTTTTTTCACAATTCAGATAATTGTTTTATAACAATTTTCATTTTCTCACATTTTTCGTTAAATATTCTATAATTAAATAAATGAAACTCTATTATTTTATGTATAAAAAACTGAATTAATATTAGTTTTAGTTAATACAAATTTTTACTACCAAAAATATAGTGTCGGAATAAAATTTTTATACAGATAAAAGTTTCTCTAGAATAGCGAAACTATTTCAGTGAAATTTATTTCTGTTATGGATGAAGATTTTTTTAAAACAAAAATAAAATTATTTATTTTAAATATCACAGGTTTTTTGCAATAACAAACAACTTTAAGCTCCTTCATAACTTAGACGGAGAAGAAAAATGTTAAATTTACAATGTTATATAGTAGATATAAATGATGAATAAAATTTTCTAATAAATTTTACCAATTGTTCTTATTAGATCAACAAATAATAATAATTGGTTTAATTAATCTTGTAAATTTAACGTTATTTTCTTCTCCGTGTTAAAATCCTAATAAAAAATATATTAGAATAATCATGCGCATATGATTATTCTATAAAAATAATTTAGTTAGAATTTTCATTTTCAAAGAATTTTATTAATAATTAGTTTTTAGGAGAATTTAATTTAATTTTAAGTGATTCTAATTTTTAAACGTCATAATTTCCAATTTCCAGTAAATATTAAAACTCCGAATTTTCATTTATACGAAATTTTAATTGACCGAACAAATAATTGGCCATTTAGGTGCGATTTTGATAAAATTTACCAATCAGAAATTATCAAGAAAATCGTGATTGATCAATTTTAATAAACGCGCTAATTTTACTGACTATTGTTTGTTCGGCCATTTGCAATTTCGGACAAATGAAAATTCGGAGTTTTTTTTCGGAAATTTACAAATAACAATTCGGATAAATGATGTTTTAATAAATTGGAAATTTGACTCACATAAAATTCAATTAAATGAAAATTATGCAAAATTAAAATTTGGTTTTATTGGATTTCTCACAGAAAATTAAAAGGCATTAAAATAAGCTGCAACGCTTATTATTTTAATCCAATTTTGCTTATTTTAATCCATTTTGATATTAAAATAAGCAAAATTGGATTAAAATAATAAGCGTTGCAGCTTATTTTAATGCCTTTTAATTTTCTGTGCTATTAAATAAAAAGTTGGATAAATATCCTATTAAAAATTGACTACCAAATCAGTGAAATTTTACTGAACCAATCAGTCAAATTTCACTGGTTTGGTATACCTTTAACTGGTTAGCAATGAAATTCACTGATTCAAATTTAGAGAGTAGGGGAGGTGAAATAAAAATTCTGTAAAGTAAAAATTCGTTTAAAAAGAAATTCTGTTAAATGCGAGAATTTAAAAAATAAAAATGCTTTTAAAAACTATAATTATACATCTAATAAAATTATTGAAAATAAAAATTCTAACTATAGACAAAGAAAAATAGACTAACAGTATAGGAAATGTTAAAAATGGCGCGTATATATTTGGAGAGTATTAGCGAGGGTTCGTATTTCCACCCTCTTCTTAATTCCCAACTAAGATGGCAGCTATCCTTTTGTAGAGTGTGTGAGTGACACATACACACACACACACACACACACACACACAAACATTGATGTTGGGCTTCATTTAGAGTGGTGTGCCAGCAGCTAAAGTGTGATAGTTGCGTGTACTCATCGTCTCTATAACGCGGGATAGGATAATTTTCTCAATTTCCCGGTGTCTCCCGTGGGGTCGGTCGTTAAGGGCTCCAAGTGACGGGGGATGGTCCAAGGACCGGCAAGGGTTAGACCATAAGATAGTTTGATAGGCTTGGTTGCCAGGAGACCCCTAAGGCCTTAGCCTCACTATACTAATGCCGAGGAAAAGGATATGGAGTGAGAGAACAAGTGTGGGTCTCTATAGAGTCAGCTATTCTCGTACACGAATACTATAATAGAGATTTTCCACGCCTGTGTATTACTTCATTTTCACTGTCCGTGTTCCTTAGACACCTTCAGTTTATATAGATTAGACCCTGCAATATATACTGAAATTAAGCATTAACAAACAGTCGTGTATATTTACATTAAATATTTCAAGTATTGAGAAGAGCACATTTGTTTAGAATGGATATTTTTTAATGGAAAAGAAATTTTTTAATTTTCATATATTAGAAGAAATTTTATTTAGAGCGGAAGACGATTGGATTAAATGTTGACGATTCCCTTTCGCTGACTACGTTTACGTCGCACGGTTTACCATAAAGTTTACAACTTCTGTCAAGCTCTCTGTTCGTTGTTCTCGGCTCGGAAAACATCGCGATCATTGCAAACGGTCGAGAACTTTGTCGTGAGGATAAATACCGGCAATTTAGGCCAGAGAATTGCATTCACTATATAGCCGACTCAACGACCCTTGCAATTGCATTGTCTTCGAAAATTAAAGTTTTCGTGAATCATTATACTTTTTTCACAATAATAATAATAATAATTAATCGAAAAATTATTTATAACAGAATTTCTAATTAATAGAATTTTTATTTGTCCGAAATTTCAAAATCACCGAACAAATAATCGACAAAAAGATTTAGGTTCGATTTTTTGTGGATAATTTTTGATTAGAGTTGATTTTAAAAATCGCGCCTAAATCTTTTTGTCGATTGTTTGTTGGGTCATTTTGAAATTTTAGATAAATAAAAATTCTATTAATTAGAAATTCTGTTAAACAATTTTTTGGTTAAGTACAAAATTGTTTAGTTTGAAAAATCTTTTATATGGAAATTCTATCAAATAATAATTCGAACAAATGAAATTCATGCATCGCAATGTTATATATTAGAAAAACTTTCTTTTTTAAGAGGAGAATTAAGGAAATGCATATATGCACTTATCATTAGTATCCGTAAATCAAAATTTCACCCCCTCTCCTTTTTTGAGGATCATAATTTATAAAAGTTTTTTCGTTCATGAAGGAAAGTAAAGTTGGAATAGAACGTGACAGGCGGACAGTGTGTTGGGGGTGTTTCGCTCGGGATGCTATTAATTATCGAGCTCCTTTCGCCGTATATATATGCTTTCGGCTTTGAGCTCGACAGGGTGTAGCTTTGGTGGAGGGTGAGAGATAGAGAGAGAGAGAGAGGACGTCGGGTGAAACTGGGTGGTTTGAAGTATAAGATACACCCGGCTTAGCTTCCTCGAATATTAGATCAATAATTCTAACCTCAAACTGAACCACGACGAACGTCGAACGCAATATGATGTTACACTATACCTTTCAAGCTCTATATTATATTTCGGCGGTGCGGTGACTTCCATTTTCACTGGCAAAGGAAACGATTCTAATTACTATTTACAGTGTCAATTTACTTTCGTGTCTTGCTTTTAATTACCTTCTGTTTAATATATATTTTCCACTCATCGTCAGTATGCTATCATTATTTTTCTATATATATATATATATATATATATGTTTGCTGATAAAAATTTTTGTCAAGAGATATTGATGTTATGAGAATTTGAAATTAGTCATTTTAGCATCCTTATTTATTTTATCAATAAATTATTATGTATGGACAGTTATGTGTATTGATCTTTGAGATGTCTCTAAGGTATAATTAATTGGCGGTTGATGCATCTAGTTAATTAAATTTGTAAATATGATAGTTTAACAAATTTGTCAAATAACTATTTACTGTGCGTATATGTTAATAAGTAATTATTAGTTTTCATTTAATTTGATTTTTAAATTACTTCCAGTTTCGGAAAGAAAATGTGGTCCTTTTATAATTAAAAATTTACTTACTTTAATATTTATGCGAGAATAATAAATAAACACTTGACAAAAATTTTGAAATAAGTATATATATATATATATATATATATAGAATATTTTCTGAAAAATTTCTAAGTGACTTATAAACTATTTTTATTTCAACGTAAAATGTAAGGAATGCTTTCCGGACCGCAGCATCCTAAGTACTGACACAAAATATTTCGATTTTGAGTTGTAGCAATATTTTTAAAAAACCAGTCTTTGGTTCTCAGGAGTTAGTATGATTAGAATGAATTTTTCATCTTAGAATACTCCCCATAATTCTGACGTTACCCTCTTTTTTTACCCTACTTTGAGATTCTCTTGAGAGTGAGAGAACGGAGATGATACAAGGGAGCGTGAGAACACTTGAATGGTCCAGCGAGACAAAAATCCAGCGCTACAAGTTTTATCTCTTCCCCCTCACTTTCTGCAGGTTGCAAAACGTTAGACGAAATCTTTGTCAATCCTTAAATTATTATTTTTATTATTTACAACTAACTGAAAATTATTAAGCCTGTTACACAGTGTTTTATATTTTTATTAAATTTTTAAGTTTTCTTATTAATTATTAATTAACTATTATTTATAAGGTAATTTATATAATAATAATTAATAATAATAATAATTATTATTATTATTATAAATATTATTATTATTAATAATAATTAATCTTCATATTATTAATTATTAATATTATTAATTATTTATTATTATTATTAATAATAATTATAATAATTATAAGATGTGGAAATGATGAAATTGACTATGTGAATGATGAAAACTGTGAAAAATATTTACATACAGTACTAGAATATTTTAATGTTTTTAAATAAATAATTTTTTTTTGTTTGAAATTATACATCTTTTGTGGACTGTTTGCAATAAACAAGTGCTGAAATTTTGTCTCCGTGAAATTAAAGAGCTGTGACTGACTAGCTGTACCAGTTTTAGCCCTTGTGTTCCTCGCTGAGGGGATGATTTTCTTCCATCATCTCGCGAGATAGCCAGTGGTCAGTAGCGTGAGAAACAACTGTTCGTGGTCCATATATGCACAGCATTCTCGAAGACTGGTTTTTTTTTTTTTTAAGAATCTGCATTAGGGAATAGAAGCTTATTATATTTATCATACTCGTAATCCATTTAAAAAAAAATAACCAGTTTCTATAAAAATTTATTCATTTCTCTGTATATTTATTGCTATACGATAAAAGACGATTAATTTCTCGAGTATTTAAATCTTTTATATTTCTTGGTAAAATTTGAACAAGTTATTTAAATTTCCAACTGTCACAATTTAAAGACGGCTAAAATTAAATTTCATTTTGATTCCTGTTACAAACAATAAATGTTTTATTAAAATTAGTCCATTATTACACAGAAAATTAAAAGGCATTAAAATAAGCTGCAACGCTTATTATTTCACCTTCCGACACAATTTTTGATCCACAAAAAAATTTAACATTTTCGGAAACTAGGACCCAAAAAAAAAATACCCGTGTCTGGCCGTTTTGCTAGATGAAGTCGTTTGTGGTTTTTAGGGGGTGAAAACAGCCCCTAAATAAAAAGTGACAAGATATCTTTTAAAAATTATTAATATTTTTTAAAACCTCGGTATCTGAGGGTTTTCGGGGTCACTGATTATTAATCTGATGTCAGATTTTCAAAATTCAAAATGGCGGATCCAATATAGCGATCAAATTTTTAAAAAGTTATTAATTTTTTTTTTATGCGCCATTTTGAATTTTGAAAATTTAACATCAGATTCGTCATCAGCGACCCAAAAAACCCCTAGTTACCAAGGTTTAAAAAAAATTTAATAACTTTTTAAAATTTTGACCGGCATATTGAAACCGCTATTTTAAATTTTGAAAATCTGACATCAGATTAATAATCAGCGAGCCCGAAAACCCCCAGATACCAAGTTTTATAAAATATTAATAATTTTTAAAAGATATCTTGTCACTTTTTATTTAGGGGCTGTTTTCACCCCCTAAAAACCACAAACGACTTCATCTAGCAAAACGGCCAGACACGGGTATTTTTTTTTGGGGTCCTAGTTTCCAAAAATGTTGGATTTTTTTGTGGGTCAAAAAAAAAGTTGAATTTTGTCGGACAGTGTTTTAATCCAATTTTGCTTCTTTTAATCCATTTTGGTATTTAAATAAGCAAAATTGGATTAAAATAATAAGCGTTGCAGCTTATTTTAATGCCTTTTAATTTTCTGTGTAGTTATAGGCAGTCGTTTTTGATTGAATAATTTAGAATTATGGTTTTTATTAGAAAAATATTCGTAACTTTCATATTCATTGAACTTTGCCGTTTCGATTGAAAATGATCAGAAAGAAATGTAAACATTAATATATATATGAATATGTAATATTTTGAAACCTAATTTAATATGAAAAAGGGAGGTTTAATGCGTTAATGAAGTTCGCTTTGAAACGATAATAATTAAATACAAGCGGTGATTCCGTCACACCCTGAATTTAATAGGGTTGAATAAGCACACCGAGATGGCTGAATAACTTCCGGCAACCCTCGTCTTTTCTGCTTTCCACCATCGTCCTTTCTGTTTCTCGGGCTCTTTGGGAATTATATGGATCCATCGCTCGCGAAATCGCGCATTGTCGTGAGGGCGGTTGAGCTTAAGGGTTGAACCGTTTTAGGGTAGGCGCGAGCATCTCCTCCGCTGTAGTAAGGCGCTGCTCTGGCAGCCATGTTTGCGTGGGTTGGGGATTGCGAGGGGGGAGTGAAGGAGATTGGGAGCAATACACCCCTCAAAGAGGGAGTGAAGAGAGAACAGAATCATGTTGGCTACGCTTTTAGAGGATGGGTGGTGACTTGAAGACGTCGATATTCTCCACGCCGACGCTTAGTTTACATATATATATATATATATATATATAGCAATTTTTTAAAATCTGATACATCCATTTTTAAACATTTTTTTGTAAACATATTTTTTATGTATATAATACAACATATTATTCTTAAAAGTAATGTTTAAAAAAAGATTTTCAAAAATGGATTTATCAGTTTTTGAAAATTTATTCAAAATAATTGAGCTGTCGGATCAAAGAAGGGCACATAACCCATTTGAATTACATTAGTTATGTGCCCTTCTTTGATCCGGCAGCTCAATTAAAAAATTTTTAATTTGGGTTTTATTTAATAAATCGAAATTTTTTTATAATTATTTTGGTTCCGTTCTTTTATTTTAATTTGACTGATTTATCTTTCTCTGTTTCTTTGCTTGTCGTTTCTGGCTTGTTTCCAATATGGTATAATTCGTTTAGTTTAAATTATTCACTTTGAAAAATCTTCTTTTTTAAAATTTAGCCCATATATATATAAACATAGACGCCAAATTCTTAATTTTAATTAACGTGTTTTTCTATATGTGTAGTAATCTTTAATAAGAAAAAAAAAAAAATGTGGAAATTTTAGTGTTTAGTTTAATTTTTTGACTAGGATATCCATATATCTGTGTATATATCTCTATTAAATCCTATTGATAGGGAGCACTGAAGAACATAAGCTCCCTTTTCGAAATGTTCAATTGAACTAGCTTATCTGAGAGAGACGCTCGAGGCAGCATTTGCTTTCGAAATGGCTTTGGTCGATTCGCGAAACGATCCTATCGAGATATCGAGTGCTCCAAACTGGAGACAGGGGTCTGTTATACAAGGTTGCAATTTAGTGCTGGCGCGGGAATATTTGATCGGCTATGGTTTGCTAGGAGGAAAATCGAGACGGAACGGCATGGAATGAAATGGGGGGGTTTTGCTGCTTGGTAAAGGAGGTGGTAGTACCCCAGTGGTGTTTGGAGGTTAGACCGCAGTTACAATATCGCTTGATTAGAAATGTACATACTATATATATATATATATATGTATATATATGTATATATATATATATAAAATATATATATGCAAAGGTGGGTGGTTGGGATGGGTCGATGCCTGGGCAACTCCATAGTTTAATGCACGAACCGTGGAACTTGCAATAAGGAGGGTAAAAGGGGTGAAAGGGGGGCTGGTGGCAAGGGTGTGCCTTTACCTACACCTACAAGTTGGCATATAACGTGATCGCACTACTTGCAGCATGGTTGTTAACCCTAGAGAGAAGACTATACTAACTCTCTATATTCGTCTAAACAAGATCGAGGTGGTTCTCTCGAATTTCATAAATTTTCCACTTATAATTTCGTTTTGCAAATATATAACATTTCATTTAGTTACAACTATATTGTTATTCGAGATAAAAATATAAATTTTTCACTAGGAGGTAATTAAGTTGATAGAATTTTAGGTATAATTTGTGTTCTATATGGAAAAGAAGATTTTAATTTTGGAATATGTAACTTTTTTCTTTGTTTTTGAAAGTTACTTTTCCTGTTGATATATTTGTAAGAAAGTAAAGTTAATAGTTAACAAACATGACTTGTGCTATTTGCTGCGTTATATATTTAGAAGGAAGTTAAATTGATACGAGAAACGGTCGAGTGAGTCTCAATTAAACGTTTCTCTCAGTGCAAGTTCTCTCTTCTCATCAACGTGTGCACTATATGGTTATATATAGCACTCCTCTAGACATGTGGAGTATAAAGATGACTCCACTATATTGGCCGG